AAGAGAATTGACAACAACTTTCCTAAGAAACTCATACAACTTGCGTTAGATCGACTAAATATTAGACTCTTTCTGATTATTCTTCGATATTGCAAATTTTTATAAACTATTGCTAGTGATAGAGGTAGAGACGATGGTCCTTCGATTTTGATGAAACTTCGTGCACTTATAAAGCAGCCAAAAATAATCGACACGTATTTTTTTTTTAACTACGATAACTCGAGCTTAAGGGATGAAACCACCCCTTGAAGTTTTGGCTCGAAACAGCTATCTCGAAAACAAAAAGACATACGAAAATATTATTAACGGGCAAGGTTAATGATTTCTTATGTACGATAACATGGTGTTAAAAAATTGAACAAAATACAATTTGTTTATAACAAAAAAAAATTTATTAACTTAATTTTTCCTTTTATTGAAATTTTCCATTGGTAGGTAATATTTTAAAATTCGTTTCGAATCAAAACTTCAAGGGGTGAATTCATCCCTTAAGCTCGAGTTACAGCGGCTAAAAAAAAATACGTATCGACTATTTTTGGCTGCTTTATGAGTGTACAAAGTTTCATCAAAATCGAAGCCGGACCATTCGAGAAGGTTTTTTGTCAGGAAGGGTAAGAGTTTCAGGATGAGTAAAGATTAGAAATCGTAATTAGGATGTTTGGATTGGTAATGTTTGTGATGTGGGTGAGTTTGTATGGTAGTGTTGGTCATCCAACATTACACTCGAGTTACACCATCGATGTGTTGCCCTACAGGAGAAAGTCACCAGCTGCTGCACCAACCGCAACCTCTTCTTCAGGCAGGTGTCTCGTTTGATGTGCAATGCTAGTGACTTTCTCTTGGGCTCGAGTAAATGTCGGAATTTTGTTGGTCCCTATTGGAAAAAGTAGGGTTATGGGACGTATGATTTTAAATAAAACAATAATAGTTAATGGTAGAATTTCACTTTTATTAAATACGTAAAGGTATATTTTAGTTACATTCTCCAAGAGATCTGTTACTGAACTGTGCACTTCACCCTCAGAAGAAAGGCGAGAGTGAAACTTCCATGAGTTCGTAGAAACTCCAGACACATATAATCGTCACTGGAGATGATTTTTGTAAGAACGTGAGAGGGTTAGGAAGTCCCAACAGTCCCTTTGAGATCCAACGTAAAATGATAAGGTTCAATTTCAGAATCGGTTCGATGGCCGTTCTTGGCGGTTAATTATCGTTACGGAACAACGTCGATGAATCGCCACGCGTATAAAAAGTGCCGTGGGCGTAAAAAAGAGATCCGGGAACTGGTGGGTCGCGCGTATGATCGGGACGGATAGAGTCACCGGTCGGCATTAGCTACGGGGGCAGACAAGACTCATCTTCGATTCCGCTCGAATATCCAGTCCGGTCTGTTAGGTTTAATTTCGTTAATCAGGACGCGTCTCGATTCAACGAGCTTCGTGAGCGGAGCCGAAAGGAGAAAGGCATTCTCCCTCGTTCCTCTGGCCGTCGTTCGCCGCTGCATCCGCGCCAAAACTCACGAAACGCAGCGGGAAAGAACGAGCGAGCGAACGAACGAGCAGCGCCCCCCCGCCGATCCGTGGTGGTGCGCCGTTCAGTATATAACGCAGCGAGGTGGGAAACTAGACCGTGACGAATCACGGTCGGCGACTGCGCCGCTCTGACGTCACGTCGAAGGGCGAGCGCGTCGTCGCAAGTGTTCGTGATTGGACATCTTTTATCTTCGTCCGGGCGACGCACGCAATTTTGGCGCGATAGCGCAACGGGGACGAATCGAATTAATACGATTGCCACTTCCGAAGCGTGACTATGAGCGCGTGACTCGAACGAATCTTGAATCTCGAGCCGGGCAACGACGCGCCGATCCGCGCAGTCCTCGATTTCTTTCCGACACTGCGTCGACTCTTGAACCACGAACTCGTCGAAGACAAGAAATCATCGTCAAAAGCGAGAGAGTTTCTATTAATCAGATATGAACATTCGATCGTAGTCATATTCGAGGAGTCCCAGCTATAGTAGCAATATTACACCTCGTACCGAAACTATTACAGTGGATTGCCGATTATTCGAACCAATAGGGTGACAAATTGATTCCGATAATCGATTTTTCGGATAATTGGTCCGGGAAATCCGGAGAACTGTATAATAAAATAACTTTGGGAACGTGTTTATCGCGTTCGAAATTGTTACACAAGTAAACGGAACATAATTTCAATTATGGGTTGGTACTATTGTGGGACACTGATCACACTCGTGGTGTAGATATCGAGGGGGTTGATAAAATTGTTTACGTATGACGAATACGGGCATGAAAGTGTAAACAGCGTAGGGCTCGCGATGCTTACGTATTGACACACGTCTCGTTTTGCGTGTCCCGATAATCCGTAGTTTGAATAATCGACGTTCCACTGCATTACCAAATCACGAACTGATTATGGGAGAGTACAAATTTTTTAACTATCCTTTCAATAGCTATTTAGCACATGTTCCCTCTTAAGAGAGTCTTTTGAAAGCGGCCCTGGATTACCCCCATCGACCCTCCTTGCGATCCGTCCCTGATTCGGACAGACACAGACGCAAGAGTATCTCGCGTTTCCTATTCAATCATCCAAATTAGCAGCCAAGAAAGATCAGCATCCGCGAACGGTTGGCGTCGATGCCGCCCAGTAAAAGCGGCAGAATTCGATCCCAAAAGCACCGGGCGAGCTAGTCGGCTGCCAACAGAGCGGTGTGCTTGGCCCTGGTGTCGAGATCGCGGCACAGAAACGTTCTCGCGCCGCCCACAAACGTCGTCCACTTTCGTGCAACGATGACCAACATTCTCATCTAGACGAACATTTCAAATAGTTATGGAAAAAATATCTTCGGTTGCGGGGGTCGATTACAATCATTTTTGGTCATTACACGTACCCCCCAAATCTTACGCATTTTCGAGAAAAAAATTCGAATAGGTAGACAAATTTTTCGGCGAAATTAAAACATTTCAAATAATTTTGGAAAAAATATTTTCTGATGCGGAGGTCGATTTCAATCATTTTTGGTCATTGCACATACTCTCGAAATCCTACGCATTTTCGAGAAAAAAATTCGAGAAGGTAGACAACTTTTTCGGCGAATTTGACATATTTCAATTCATTTTGGAAAAATTATTTTCTGATGCGGGGGTCAATTGCGATCATTTTTTGTCAATAGTGATACCCCCGAAATCTTACGCATTTTCGAGAAAAAAATTCGAATAGGTAGACAACTTTTTCGGCGAATTTGAAATATTTCAAATCATTTTGGAAAAATTATTTTCTGATGCGGGGGTCAATTGCAATCATTTTTGGTCATTACACATATCCCTGAATTCCTACCCACTTTCGAGAAAAAAATTCGAGAAGATGTGACATTTTTCGACAAAATTAAAAAATTTCAAATCCTTCTGGAAAAATTATTTTCGGTTGCGGGGGTGAAGTACAATCATTTTTGGTGAATAGTCGTACCCCTGAAATCCTGCACATTTTCGAGAAAAAAATTCACGTCTTTCGGAACTTTAAAAGTTAATAACTTTTTAACGAAGTCTCCATCAACAAATTAATATTCTTGATTTTCGTCTCATTTTGGCTTCTAGAATCTCCAAAAGGTAGGGGCGATGGTCAAGGGACAGTGTGACTCAGGAAGGGTGCGAGGTTCAGGATGAATAAGGATTAGAAATCGTGATTAGTATGTTTGGATGAGGATGAGTCTGTAATCTTTGTGATGTGACCGGTGTTTGTATGGTAGCGTCATCCAACATTTGTATTACGAGAAGGGGAGAACTGTAATATAATAAAGAAATCGTTCGGGACGATTAAAGTTCGAACGATAGATTTTTTAGTGAATTGGGAGGCAAGAGCTCGAGCCCTTGTAGCCTTTCTCTCTCTCTCCCCACTCCGCGACCACTGCTGCGCGCGCCGAAGATCGCGTAGAAGTAGCATCGAGTCAGTGTCCTTACGATCTTTGCAAGGAAGGTTGGGTTTAATGAATGCGATCTCTTCGGTTCACGATAAACCGAAGGTGTCCACGCGTAGAGGTTATGAGTGATCCATTACGGTCAATCGTACTCTAGACTGGACAATTATAAATGAAACTTGGCCATATCTGTTTATTCGAAATTTAAAACGCGTTTCCAAAGCGGACCAACTTGAAAGGAGGGAGTTTGTCGGCACGCTTGATTCCCTCGCATTTACCACATAATTTCTCAAAAATTAAATTAAAAATTTTTTCGTTGCCCAGATACGACTAAAAAATCACGAAAAAAAGAAAACGAAAAAACTGTCGTCAGAAAATTAACAGCCTCTATCGTTCGAACAAAATATTTCTGGTCGTTGGTTTTTCGTGCTGGTCGCCGGCCAGCGACGCGACGTCGTTCCGTGGCGTTTCCGGCGGTGATACGGCGATTTCGAATAGAAGCCGATACGCGCGCAATTACGTCACGCGTCTCTCGACGGCAGCGCAAAAGATCGCCGCGTTTTGATACAATCGGCGTATATATTTACGTTTGAAATTGATACCCCCGTATCGTGCCATTCCGAGGAATGTCTTGGAACGATTAGAGGCTTATCGGGACACGCGACAATAGCCTCGATACCTATCGGTTACATCACGTTCCCCACCCGTCTAATTATATCAACTCATCTGAACACATCGACGTGCCCCGGTGAGTACGGATGTGAAAATACCTTAATACGATCCTCAGTCGTCCGTATACCAGTTTTTCCGTTGTATAATAAAACAAAAAATGTGAAAAAGATGTTCTCGATATTCGTTCGTTTCAATTGCCAATTTTACATAACAAAATTTCCTCGCTGCTCTCTAATGAAGAGTACAGTTAATTTCACCGGAATTTTTTCGACCGAAATCCACGCGAACGTGGCCGCGGGCGAAAGTTTTTAGTAAATAAATGTGAATATTCTGAAGGGCGCTCGTGCCCGGAGTCGAAACGTTAAAATATGAGTTAAATTTTATTCTGTTACCAGCACCCGAGTCCCGACCAAATTACCAATACGTTGGTAGCTAAAATGCAGAGGTTGGCGTAGCCATCGAGAAGAGGATCCTGCGATGACCGGAAGAAACACCGAGTGAGTCTTTGCATCGACTAATATTGCAATATTTTTAGAGAAATAACATCGAAATTACGGAAAGTAAAATTTATCTAGATAAAGGTAACAATGACTCCTCGATAAAATTACTTTTCTTTAAAGGACTATCGTTATATTTCCGAGAATAGCAATGTCAATTTTTTGTTTCGAATTAACCCCTTAACGCACACGCCTGTGACATATACGGGCACGCCTAACCGGTAGGTTAGGTATAGTATGTATGTGCATGTCCGTGACAGTCACGGGCAACTCCCGAACACTTGCCGCTGGCGGTTTCATTCCTTTAGACGTTGATTTATCCGTTTCATTCCATGATATTTTACAGTAGACAGTGTACTTAACACATCCCGCTTCGATTTCGAAACCATTTGCGTTTGCGGTTCTAGCTGGATGCCTCAGAGTGTAGTAATTCCCTTTCTTTTCCTATAATTTTCATTATAGAATAATAACGATAGAAAACAGTACCCCTTAAAGGCATATATCTTACACAAGATGTTTAGCGAAATTGAAATATTTCAAATCGTTCTAGAAAAATTATTTTCGGTTGCGGGGGTCAATTGCAATCATTTTTGGTGAATAGACATACCCCTGAAATCATGCGCGTTTTTGAGAAAAAAATTCAATACGGGCGGAACTGTGTTTCCATAGTTTCAACGCAGTTTCGTTTCCTTTTTGTAAGTTATTATGAAAATCATACGCTGGCCCGATTGGGTGAACAGAGAAACGTTCGTGACGGTAGGAAAGCGTTTCGCCACGGACCGCGTCGTCGAACATGTAGGTTCGATTCCATCGCTACGCGTCGACCTTACGTGTTCGCGCGCAGCGTAGAGCGAGAGTCGCGCGTGTCCTTATACACCAAAGGACGCGAGTTTCTCGCACCATTTCGAGGCCTCTCGCGGCCAAGCCACGCGTCACGTCGCGTACCGGCCTCTCGCGGCCGTTAAATTTATTCGCGCGCCGACGTTCGGAGCCCCGTACCGGAGAATACGTGGACGGCCGCTTCGACCCGGCGCGGCGATCAAGAGCCGCCGCGCGTTCAATAAACGGAGACAGCCCGAAACGTCCGTGGGGGATCGGACGAGACACTCGATTCGCCGGTTTAACGATCGCCCGCGGTACCGGCGCAACCTTAATTCGCCCGTTAATGTTTTATGTTAATGCTTCACGGGACAGAATTAGCCGCACGCTTGTTTGGTTACTCGGCGCTAAGCAGCTTAACGCTGGCCACGTCGAATTTTAGCGTAGAGCGCCGCGAACGTTGGCGAACATTTCGCGATGCAGGAACGAATGACGGGGACAGCGGTGAAAAAATCGTCAACCGTCGTCGAACGAACGGTACACCCTTTAACCTGCCCGTGCGTCGTATGTGGGCCACGGTTCTTGCCAGGTAACCTAACCTCACAATTACCAAATATTCCATTTCCTTTTCATCGGAGGAAGATACTATTTGTTTCAAAGGGGCCCGGCGTTTCAATAAACAAGATAACCTTTCTCAATGCCATATTTTCCGAGATTTCAAGATTATCAGTGTTTTTTCGAGAGTACATATTTTTATCGTCGTGGCGTAAGAGCGAGGTCGAGGCCAATTCGATGATCTATGATAGCGTGACCTTTGCGCGACCTTGGGTACTAAAATAGCAAAGACCACCGACAGTGTGGCAACATTCTATAGCCGTTGCTGTTTCACCGGTGGCGACGGTCACCGGTGACCACCGCGACGGTTACGGCGTGGAATCTCGAAACGACCTCGATCGAAAATCGTTCCGCGGTGCTTGGCAGGGGCGCGGGAACCGTCGTTCTCGATTCTGCTCGTCCGTCGGGCACGAACAGGAAAAAGTCTCGTTAGGATTATACCGATTAAAATTGGCCGTAACAGGCTTTATTAGAGACCGACAAATAGATCCAGTCACAACGTATTAATTGACATTAATTGAGACCGGGGGGCATTAATACCGTGCAGTTATCTTTATTCGCGCGTTTCCGACGCGGCGCCGGGCGTACCGTAAAAACCACCCGGTATCGTTCTTCAGGGTGTTCGACCAACCCTGGGAAAAATTTTAATGGACGATTCTAGAGGCCAAAATAAGACGAAAATCAAGAATATCAATATTTCGTTTGAGGCTTCGTTAAAAAGTTATTAACAATTAAATTCAACAATTTCAAATCGTCCTGGAAAAATTATTTTCGGCTGCGGGGGTCGATTACAATCATTTTTGGTGAATAGGCATACCCCCGAAATCCTACACATTTTCGAGAAAAAAATTCGAGAAGGTAGACAAATTTTTCGGCGAATTTGAAATATTTCAAATCATTTTGGAAAAATTATTTTCGGTTGCGGGGGTCAATTGTGATCATTTTTTGTCAATAGAGATACCCCCGAAATCCTACCCATTTTCTAGAAAAAAATTCGAGAAGGTAGACAAATTTTTCGGCGAATTTGAAATATTTCAAATCATTTTGGAAAAATTATTTTCTGATGCGGGGGCCAATTGCGATCATTTTTGGTGAATAGACATATCCCCGAAATGTTGCGTATTTTCGATATAAAAATTCAGTACGAGCGGAACTTTGAATGTTAATAACTTTTTAACAAAGCCTTCATCAACAAATTGGTATTTTTGATTTTCGTCTTATTTTGGCCTCTAGAATGCCCCATTAAAATTTTTCCCAGGGCTGGCCGAGCATCCTTTACACTTTCAAACAATGAAATAAAAAAAAATTGATTTTTTTGAGGTCTCACATGAGACTCCCCCCTTAAACCGAGTATTTTTCCAGCACTCGACAAATATCATTAAATCGTACAAAATTGTTCTGCGTTACTTATTTCTACCTTCCCTTAAAATAGTATTATAGTCCAGCCCAATTACTAGAATCACCCCGTATACGTCACGAAATTATTGACTTTAAAATATCATGCACCCCATATGTTGCCGTCAGGCCTGAAAGGGGTAACGCCAGAACGTGGCCATCTACAGTTTACACAATCACGCATATTGGATTTCATTTAACTTGCAGCAGCACGGTTAGATTTCGAAACCTTTCTCGCTTAAATATTTCATTAAAAATGTAGAGGCCGGCGAGGGAAGTATCATTTACAGTTTATTACGAATTTAATTAAACAGTGGTAAGTCAGATGCGTTCTCTGACAGGAACGTCAACCAATTTCATTTATGCAATTTCTGTACACCGAGGGTGCACAAAGTCCAGCCTCCGGGCCAAACTCCTTCATTGAGTTTATCCGGCCCGCAAAATCAAGTTACAGAGAAGTTCTAAAATCTATACGAAAAAGTAAACGTGTAATTACCGTAATTGCAATTTCGTTCGCGCGATGCGAAATTTTGCAAAATTATAACCCTCGATTCTTGGACGAGTACAGACACCGGTCGAATTTTCGTTGCAGTCGTTGGGCGACGTCGTCGAACCTAACCCTAAAAACTGGAGTCCGCGTATCGATTAATCGGTACCAAGTCGGTGAAATATCGGTCCGCGCGTTAGAAAATTTCCGCGTATATACGCGTCCCGGCGGCCACCAATTACTAATTAGCAATTACGCAAAGCGAGCCGTTCCACCGCAAATTCAGTGGAGGCATCAGCCGGCCCACCCTAAAGTCGGTCCTTGGTCATTAGACCCGGCGAGCGCATTAACCTCGAACCCATTCCTGGCCCATCGCCTCGTGCGCGTCGTTCCATACCCGTATATACCCGTAGACGGTGGGGCTACGATATAGCCGAAGCTAGCAATTCGGTCGGACGCATAACGAGCCACGGACTTTACGGTAGTCTCCTTCGCTGCACGACTCGCTAATTCCTCGCTCGGCCGCAGTTAGCGACGGACGCGCGCGGCTACCCCAGCGTCCGATTGCGCTCACGCACGCACGCACTCACGACGCACGCACGCACGCACGCACGCAACCGAGCACGCAACGCGCAACGCTCGATGCAGGCGCGCGTGCACGTACGCGATCGCGCGCAAACATGTCCGAATCCGGCCAAGACTCGATTCTAGCGCGTTCCTGAAACTTTGGAAGAGCGGGCCAAACGGGACATCGACGAAACGTTCTCGAAACGAACAATTTAGCGGGGACTAACTCATAAGTAGACTGCGGATGTTTATGCATTTATGGGAAATTTTAATCCTCAAAGAACTACAGAATGCATTTAATATACAAAAATATAAGAAATACCTAAAGTAAGATACGAATTATTATATTTAGGGGTTGAGGCAGCCCTCTGCGAAGCATCCGTTTCATTAATTCTACTAATGAATGAATTTGCATAAAGATCCGTATTCTACTAATAAGCCAACATTAGAATCATCCTTACATAAACATTCTAGTCATAGCTTCCGAATTCCAGCCTTTCTAACTTCTTGTGCTCGGTTACTCATTCCGTACGCCACCGTTGCAACCCTCGATTATATAAACGACGGGCATTTTTGGACTCGGATCAGATCTCTGAAGTCTCTTTAGTGAAGTGTTGTTCTTAATCTCCAACGCTATATCGAGAATAAATTTAGCGTTTTATCGTGCTCGGAGAATGTGACGAATGTCAGGGCAAATGGTGCCAGTTAATCGCGAGTGTTCTGCACCGGGAAAGGGGGAGATCTCCGCGATCGGTCATTAATGCGTTAAGATATTATCGACTGTCACGAAATAATGATAGGTCCGCGGGCCGGGACTGGGTTGGCAAAGTGCAAAATAGCCGAGCGGGGGCCGGGAGGGCTCCTCTTCGGGGCGACGCGTTCGTCGCGTTCGTCGCGTCCGTGCACGTATTCGTGGAGCGTATCTCTTTCTCACGCGCGGCTCGGCGCGACGCAGCGGCGTGTGCAAGCAGCGTCGTCTCCGGTGCATACGCGTGTGCGCGAGAGAGTGTGAAATAACGCGAGGTGATGGCAGAGGACAAAGGCTCCGCGCGACGCGGGTACTAGGGGCTAGGCAGGAACCAGAGCCGTGCTGAACGACCAGAGACACGAGGGGAGG